GGGAAAGAGGTCGAGGCAAGAAGCGAGATCTGATGAAGAAACCCTCTCTCCCCCTCTCTCTTATACTTCTTTGTGGGTTGTCCCTCTCCTCTCTCTCTCTCTCTGGCATGCAAAGGGCACAGGTGTCAACAGAGATATGGATGAATGAATTCAACAGCACATGCAGATGCAGTGAATAGACTTTCATCTCTTGGACCAAAAATGGAAATGACACCACAAAGATCTTGAAAGAGGGCCTTTGGGAATTTGTTTTTATATATAAATTATATAGTGACATTATAGAGGAAAGATATCGGGAGGGGATAAGCTTCTTCACCCTTTCCCTTTTCTTTCTTTTATTCCCTTTTTTTTTTAATAATTTAGTTATTTCCCTCTTTTTGTTGGTGGACAATGGACACAAGGCATTAATAGAAAAACAAATAATGAGTTGATATAAAATATTTTTATATCCTAATACGGCCAGTGTCTGTATATAACATCAATTCATATATATATATATATATATATATTGGTGTAAATTTTAACCCTTTTCCTCAAATTTATTGTCGCTATTTGCAACCTCTTTGGAATCAATGTTATATGTATTTCAAAAGTACATTTAAAATACAAAGAATTCGTTGGTTTTACCACAATTACTATCTATTTCATTCATAGGTGATAGGACTCATGACACTATTTTTTTTTTTTCTGGTTTTGCAAGTAATGGCATCTAAAATGATCATGCAGAAATTCTTATAACAAATGACTAATTTTATTCAATACCGAAAACTATAGCATATCTTTTACCGTATAACATTAAATTATGTTACTATGGGTTCAAATCCAAATATAGAGAAATATATTCTCCTAAATATTTTCGGTTTTGTAGAAGATATCATTGAATTAAAAGCTTAGTAACTTATGAATTATATAAAAAAAACATTAAATTCTAATATATGCTATGTAAAGTAAATGTATAATCACTATATACACAGGGGTTATAATATATATATATATATATATATAAGTATTTTATTATAAACTTATAAAGCTTAATAGTTCCAACTTCCAAAGGGAAAAAAATTTAAAACCAAGGGATTTTATAAATTTTAGATCAACAAACTTTACAAAGATCATGATAAATTCAATAGCTTTTAATATAAAAAATTAATAATTGTTTGTTTCTTGGATTTTGATTCAATTACAATATACGATTAAACTCAAAGATAATGTAAATATGTTATCAAATTGTTTTTAAAACAATCTGTAAAATTTTAAATATGTATTGTACCTCAATTTCTAACCTTTTTCTCTCGGTTTCTACCCTCCTTGTCTTGGCTCGCGCCTCAATTTCTACTTGAGTGACGACTATTTTCTTATCGAATGTATTTATTTCCAGAAAATAATTATTAATATCAATCAAAAAATCAGGTGAAAGGATCCAACAAAACATTCGAGATTTTTTTTGTCACCAATGTTAAGATTATTATTATAATATAAACTTTAGTCTACTTAATCTTCTAAATAATGCATGTTTTAGTTCTTCATCAAAAGCTTATATTTTGTGAAAAGAAAACATTCAATCAATGAGAAAACAATTTATATTTGGATAAATAAGATGGAATCCAATTGAATATAAAATAACCAAGTTTTTTTTTTAAGTTTACAAATAATATTTAAATTAAAAAAATAATTAAACCATATCTATCTACAACCAAAGTAACAAAATAGAGACGTCACGAAAATAAAATATTCATCTTCTCATGTCTGGTGGTTTAGATAATTGGGTTGACGTGGCAATACTTGAAGCCATAGAGGCATCACGAACGATTCTGACCGTTGATTATATTGATTAGATCCTTACCGTTGGATCTCACACTTTTAAGAGACAGCGTTCCTGGCCGTTGGATCTGTACGGACCCCCACACACATCATTTTGTCTTTCCCT